TATGTGCAGAAAAAAAAGAAAGAAACACTTACGAAGTGATGGAAATAATAAACAAGCTGTGGTCCCCTGCAGAAGGCCCCAACTGATCCTGTTCGTGACGCCAAAATTGATGTGGATTTCCTTGTTGTTGATATGTTTGATGATGAAGAAATTCGCCGTTGAGACTGACTTGCTTTCAGAGAGTATAATTTTATTTAAGCAAGAAACAGAATCACTGGTCACGTCTGACCAGGAGGATCAAGAAGCCAATAATGATCTCTCTCGAACACACAGAGACAATTGCTTATATGCATCCAAACATCCGCTTTTCGTCATGGGTCATAAAACATCACGTTACACAACCACATGTGGCACTACTCCTATACAATACCTCAATTTAAACATTCCACCTAAGGGGACTCCTAAATCTCCTTCAGATACTATCACAAGACGCACCCGTTGTAAACTTATATTATCTCTGTCCTAGTTACATCAGACACTTCAGTGGGCAGATAGAAAACATTCAGTATAGGCGAGATATAGACCAAAGCAGAAAATGCAGCAAATGTGGGGTATGAATAAAACATTATATCATGCAGGAGGGTGAAATCTTGCTCCATAAATTCTCAGTTTCCTTAGAAAAATAAATCTACCTGCTCTTTGCTTTGTCCTACTGGATCTGTTTTACTTCAGTGTTAACAAAGAAAAAGCCCTGGGAAGCTGCCATTCAAATCATAAAACTTTTATTTCTTCTTTAGGGAAATATAATGTATTTATCTGCTTCAAATGTTGTATACTCAAATGACCCTATGTTGTCTGTCTTTGCAGCTCTTACCAAAAAAAACCAACCAAAAACACCTGCTAACTCCAGACTTAGTTACTGTAAATGACTTAATAATTTAATATAGTATATATAATATATAATAAGAGTTAATAATTGTTTAGTTTTGCAATTGAATGAAAAGTATGTCTGCTCCCGTGAACTTTTCTTTTAGGAAACAGCCTACTTTATGTTTTAGTATCTTACTTCATGACTGATGCAGTTGTAATAAAAGAAAAGGCCCAGCTAGATCAATTTGTAGATTAGATAACAGGAGAGGAGAGGAGAGGAGAGGAGAGGAGAGGAGAGGAGAGGAGAGGAGAGGAGATGAGAGGAGAGGAGAGGTCCATATTTGGGCAGACATAAAATATGATGAAGCCTTTAATGTAATGACATGTAGACATATGGACAAATTACTTCAACTTCCCAGAAAAGAGTGTGTACCTCTAAGGATCAGTGATAGAGAAATATATTTTACAGGAAGACTTGCGGTTATCTTATAGAGGTTATATTTCCATGACCAGTTTGCATAAAAAATAATTGTGATTTGTTTTACAAAATGAATGTTCATTTGTGAGCAAAACAAGAAACAAACTTTGAAATCTTTGGATAAACATGACTTTAAATACTTCACCCAGAATCTTATACAGAACCTCTGTAAAAACAATGTGCTGGAGTTTTGTTCCCGGCTGAAAAGTGTTAACCATAACTGATAGACTACGGTCAGAAGGAGAGAGTCCTTTGTCCACAGCTTTAAAACAGAGTCAGTGGTCACACATGTCTCTCACGTAACCCGTTGATTTGTTGTGGTGGTTCCTCGGTATAAGGTCAGAGTCGGTCTCAGGACTTCATATATCAGTATATCAACTTTTACACTGTCGTAATTGTGCATAGCAGAGCTATATTTCTTACTTATTTTGTGTTTTATTTGTTCCTCAGGGGAGCAGAGGAGTCAAGCACATGCTATAAAAGTGATCAAAAGCTCCAGTGCCTCGGTGTTCAGTGGCACTTGAGTAATGTTAGAGCTATAGCTGACAGAAAAGGCAGAAAAAGAAAATGTGCTGGCAGGGTCAGAAGTAACGAAACCACTCTAGGCCACATACTTTCATGTTTCATAAAATGTGAAGATGAAATTAGATTTATCAAATAATAACTCTAGCCCCATGGGAAAACGACTGGTTGACAAGACAGTTACAAACAACCGATATTGTGACTCTTCAGATCGTAGAGAAGAGGTGTAGAACTGTCAGGGAACTCTGATAAACATGTGGCAAAGTTCAATGCAAAAGGATTTGACTTTGCTTCTTTCTTAATTATCACATTATTTTGACATATAAGCTCAATTTTAGATCTTATTGGTAAGCAGTGCAAGTGTAAAGGAATTTTGGCAAACTAATCTTTACAACAGGAGTCATAAAGAGCAACTGTCTCTTCATTTAATGATTTCCTGGACTGCCCTCTTTATTACCTACCAACTGGTGATTATTATCTTTGAGAGAGGTGTGATTGCCTTTAAGCAGATGTTCTGCTATTGATGTTTTCTTTTATTGTATGTAGGTGTGATTTCCTTTAAGAGGAGGGTTTGCTCTACTTAAGATCAGTGTAAGGTAACAATCGACAGAGAACCATGTCCAACGTGTTCTTTCCGTGATCACGTATAAAAAGGTTTCCCGAATCATATCACATCATGTTCATATTTCTTTTGAGAACTAGCAGCTAATGTTCCCTGCATTCTTAAAGCAACAAAAACATGTAAATCTCCCACTTATAATAATAATTATGATGATGATAATCTGCCCAGATTGTGCTATTTGAGGATCAGAAATATGATGGTAGAAATAATTCATTCATTGGTACTAGCTCTGTTTAGACATGAATATAAATGTGTCTTTTAAGCCCGTGTCCATTTGTTCCATCCCTCAAAAATTAATCAGCAAATGCGGAGGACTCTGTTCTTTTCTGGAAAGGATGCTGCCTGCTGCTTCTGTTAAGTTGGGGATGAGCAAAGCAGCTGAATGAATGCTGACATAGTTACATAAGCACATAACAGCAGGCAATGCACGCACAAACACACACTTATACACACATACACATATGAGAACAACACTATGTTACATTTGGCTTCCTGCAGTCTGTCATTAACCTTGACTGTGTTTCCACTGAGACCCAACTCCTCCCTATCGCTCTCTCAGGCTGGATCAGGATTGGTTGAATATCAATACATATGGCTAACATGGGATGTGCCAGTATATCAGAAAGGCAGGGAAATGATGATGGCCTTATGTTTGGTTTTTTTACCCAATCCAGATTTGATCAATATGTGTTTCCAAACATTTGTAAATAGCATTACCTCACAGATAGCTTGACCTCTTAAAATTAACCACCCTGCTTCTGCCTCTCATTGGGCTGAAATGAATATAATCTTTCACATATCAGGTGGCACACTACTGTAAAATAATACTTGACATGACAAAGAATGCTCATACCACCTGAGAAAAGTTGAGGCATACCGTTCTAATACAACTGTATGTTAACGACAGTGTTGTATGGTTATGTTCTAAATATATATATATATATATATATATATATATATATATATTATTTTTTTTTTTAAAGATTTATAGGGCTTTTCGGAAATGGGAGAGAGAGTGAGGAACGACATGCAGGAAAGAAGCCACAGGTGGGATGTGAGCCCGGCCGCCCGCTTGAGGCTACAGCCTCCATACATGGGGCGAGCGCACTAACCACTGCGCCACCAGCGCCCCGATGTTCTAAATATTTTTGAAACAAGTATTCAACTAGAATCAAGAAGAAAGAACTAAAGAACTCAACATGTTGTTCTGTAGAAACATAACACGTGTGATTCATTTTAACTGGATTTCAAAATGTCGATGCCATCGTTACCTCTGTTGACATTATTGCGATGTGAATGCTCTCTGGCACAGACAGAAATTCAAAAAAATATATTTCTTCTCCTCAGTAATAAATCTACTGGTTACTATTTGGATTTCTACAGCTCTTCTGCCTGAATCAAATTTCATTATGAATAGACTCCAAATGGTTTGTGACCATGAGGCAAAATCAGGCCGATGTTATTTAAAGCAGCACCTGCAGCAAGACAGCAGTCAGCAGAGGAAATAGTACATTTTTACTCTGCTGTTTTCTTTCGCAGGTGACACTAACCTTAAGGTACATTTTGGTTATACTGACTCTTTCATAATATATACAAAGAAAATGCACAGAGGCATGAAAGGATATTCGGCATTAAAGACTTATTATCTCACAGGGGAATCTTAGCCTGCTTAATTCACCCAGGATACTTATTTTTAAAGCGGTGCCTTGAAGTATAACTCAAGGATCAGACAGTTTGACTGTGAGGTTTTTGGTTTTATCAAATCTTTTTGTCTTGCTTATTTTCCACCTCAGGTTAAACCTGATGAAACAAACTCCAACCAAGAGAACTGCAAAGAGGTTATCGATCATAATTGTAGTCTCTACAGAGGGGAAATAAAAAGGCAGGAAATAAAAGCTGTGGGCTAGACCCATTTCAGACACTTACAAGTCTAACTTTGATGTGACTGATCAGAAGGGAAAAATGAAGGAAGGTTAAAGAAGTGAAAGACTTTCTCCGAAACATTGTACTTCCCACCCTGTGCTAATTGAGGAATAAGTTTGCAAATTAATTTCTCCTTTAATGAGCATGTATTGATAACAAAGATGTCAAATGTGAATATAAGCTCTTGAGTATTTGAGTTATCTGTGAAAGAGTCAGCTCAAATTTACTGCTCAAATTTAGGTTAACGAACGAGGCGGATGGCAGAGCAGAGAAAGAGGACGTGTCAACTGTCAAGTGGCCGTCAGGTTATGTAAATGCGGGGCGAAGGCAGGAACACAGCCGAGGACACCATGCTCAGGGAGCTGGAAAAAAATATGCGTCACTGTTCAAAATCAATCCCCCATCGATCCTGTGCAGTGACATGATCTTCCAATAAACACAACGCCCCAATCTCATCCACACACACACACACACACACACACACACACACACACACACACACACACACACACACACACACACACACACACACACACACTGCGTACGCACACAAACACACACCAACCAACCTTTCAAATGAACTCAGTAAGCATAGCTGAAAAAAAAATACATACATGTTTATTTAACAAGAAGGGCACATTTTTTTTTTACAAACTGTAAACTAAATACTGTATTTATTCCAAGGGGTGTATAATCTTTGACATCACTTTCATGAATGAACACCAGAAACATATAGATAAATATATAAATAGTCAGCGACTGGTACTGCAAATTAAAATCCCCCACTGGAGAAGAAAAAAACATACAGTAAATTTGCTTCACACTTTAAGGATTTTTTTTGAAGATAAAAAGCACTTGTGTTCATCACAACTACATTTTGAACATCATTGTACAATACTCTATCCCTCAATTCCTTCCGAAATACTGCTATTATATTTTTTACATGAAGTTGATGTTGAGGTAGGGACTCTGTTATTATCTGTTTTGGACAGCTTATATGAGTTGAAACATCCCTTGAGTCCCTCGTTTGGCCGTCAGTGGAAGAGGAGTGATGCTGCACTGTCAAATTTGCTTAAGTTGTCATACGTCATGTAACTACACTGACTGAGAGTCCGTGTTCTGTCACTACTGCTCCCCAAAGCAACATGTGCAGCCTGGAGGGAACGCTCCAGATCAAACTAAACATTTCGCTTGTGGAACTGTTGGCCAACATAGCCCTCCCTCCTCTTAAAAACCAAAGCAGTGGCATCTGGAGAGGGATGACTCACCTAGTTGACAAGGTGAGGGCTCAGGGGGGGTTACAGGGAGCCACAATACTGCAGAGATTTCAACTTTCAGCTGGAGGTATGCTTCTATTGATGTAGAATATATGAGAACACATGTGACAAACTTGTAAATGCCAATCATGTCTCAACAAATGGCAGATTAATCTCTAGATCATGAAGACTAACCCCTGAAATTCAGCTTATAAAACACTGGTAGAATCACAGCATAACCTACAGAACAACCACATTAAGCCAAACATTTTATTTTGGCAACAGCAAGAATATCAATATACTTATAGTTATAATTATAAAACTTCCAGGTGGGGCTTTGATTAAGAGCATCTGGAGTCAAACTGTAGAAGGGAAACATTACGCCCTGTCTGTTCAATAATAAATTCAGTCTGTGCCAACATCGAGGATGCTCATCAAGTCGACAGAGGCAGCCAAGAGAAAAGAGAAAGAGATGGAGAAAAAGGAGATAGGAGGGTGAGGGGGTGAGAAAAGGGGAATGGATGGTGGGAGAGGCACATCTTCCCCAAGGCATTTCCCGTCCATGTCCAGTCCGGACAGATTATGTGCACAACATGTATTTGTTGCATGTTTGAGCCAGCTTGTGTTTGAAATAATATGGTGAAATCAAGAGGAATGAGTGTAAAAAAAAGGAGGACCATTTAGCTGGTACAGATGAGAATTTCTCCAGCAATGATACTTTAGTTTAAAAAATCTGAAAAGACACAGGACTTAAAGTTAAGGAAGTCATGGTATTTATAGGTTATTGGGGATAAAAAGTATATTTTTGTATTACAATAAGACAGACAATTCCCATTCATAAATGTCTATTTTAAATATGGGTGCACCCAGCCGAGGACAGGGAGGAAAATAGACAATGGGTTGCCACTGTGTCACAAGCTGAGCCATGTATTGAGCTAAAAGCTTTCCACCCCTTTGTTGCCATCTAGATAGAATTGGATTTTCCAGAGCAGGAAAATCAAATGCTTCATTCAAGACCAATTGCTTTCTATTGGATTAGCTCTTGCTTTCCCTGATGTGCAACAGTTTCACGCCTACATAGACACACAGCACACAGTGGAAGTGTTGTCAGGAAGCATGCTGCACAGCAAGTTTCCTCAGCAACACCAAACATGGCAGATATATACAGGATTTGACCAGACAGCTAATTATGTCTGGATGTGGTGATAATGTGTGCCACCCATACACTTTGCATTTATTCAAACTCTAAAAAAAAAAAAAAGTACAGTTCAAACGGATTCAGCTTACTAAAGCAGCACAGCAATCCACAAATCTGTTTGACATTACATTTTTTATCATTTAGGTGGGAAAATAAATCATAAGCTCATATTTTTCAGTTCTTTCTCCTGTGGATGATTTGCTGAGTACAGCTACAAAAAAAAGATAATTTAAAGTTACTGTTGGGAGTTTTAAGCTTGTTATGAAACAGACTGGGATTAATACTGATGGCTTTATATGACCTTCAAAAGCAAACAAGTCAATCAGCAACTAGATTTACTATGTCTATAAAATATTTTCCAACACCTGTTTCTGCCAGCGGGACAGTGTCAGATGAGCAAGTTACAGCATGCTGCCAAAACAGGCTTTGTTTACAATTTTTAATGGCAAAGATTCCCGGTAAGTAGTGACTGATGAAAAACAGCAAGATAATTATGTTTTTTTTTATAGTAAATACTACTTTAACATACAGGAAGACAATACCAGCCCTACTTTTTGGGGTCGCCAAGATCGACACCAAATAAAAGTTACTGACAGTAGTTTTAAAGCCGGATTATGTTACTTTTGAAAGAACTTAATCCACTTGTAATCTAGCAATAGAAAAGTTGAATTCCTAAACAATGAAATAGACAGTTTCTCAAGTTCGCGCCCCAATCGGTTTGCTGCTCCAGCCAGTTTGGTTCTGGTATGCAAAGTAATAAAAATACATTTTGGTAGAAGCTTATGAAAGTCAATTTCCAACTACTATTGTTAAAAAATATTTTAGAATTCACCATCATCGGTAATTGACCCATAAGGAAACACTGGCCAATATTATCCTAAGAACAAAACACAAGCATAAAACTTGGAAATATTAAGTGTTCAATATCTTGCATGTTACTCTCACTATGTTGGTTTTGTCTTGGGCTCCAGCCCTGCAAACACAGTGGTTGTCACACTGCATGCTTCACATTGCTTACTACAGCACGGCATGGCTCCCAGCATGAGCAATTTACTAAATCAGATATCTGCGACTTTTCAAAAGGTCACTAAGTGTCACTTGCATTGTGGCTGAGTGAACTCTGCTGTAGTTGTGCCTCCTCTGTCCAATAGTGGGAGTGTAAGTTCACAGATTTAAATTCCTTTTTCAAGTACAGACTGGCAGCATCTGCCAAAAATAGAATCATTAGTGTCGCTTTAAGTGATCTGAGTAAGGACTTGAAATGGAGGGATGCCAAAGGGGAAAATATGAAGAAGAGGCAGACTGAAAAATAAAGATAAAAGGGAAGGTATAGTACAAGTGTAAATGACCTTGCTGACTGAGGGAATGGTGAGTAGGAGAGTTGAGTGAGGAGGTGGACAACAGACGAGAAATAGGGGCAGTGAGGGAGGAAGGGACTTGCTGTCTGAAGGAAAAGAAGAGCAGATAGCACGGCCCAAGAGAGGCTTTGCTGAAAAGCAGAGGGGGAGAAGGGAGACAAAGCTAATGAAAACTGGGAGTAAGGAGAGGGAATGGTGGAAACTTCAGGTGAGCTAGCCTGATCATTCCCCAGGTGGGCATGACTGGGGCCGGTTGAGAACAGGATGCTGGGGGAAGTAGACCATACAAGTGACTTTTTTCTGTCCTTATCTTTCTCTTTCACACTCAAGAAATTGGTTGGACCTTTGAGCTTGTGGGGTCTTGGAATCAGAATATTGGTACTTTGGTGTCTGAAGCAACTCAAATTACCACAGCAATACAGGTGTTTTGATTTTGAAATTGACTTCATTCAAATGTATTATAGAGAAATAACTGCAATAAACTGATCAAACTGTACCAAAACCATTTTACCCACACTGCTCCCTCATCCATTAAAACACATATAAAGCACCTACTTACAAGACATTTTGCTAATAGTAACTACATCTTCCTTCACATACTGTGTTAAAGTCCCCCCAGGATTGTGTCAGTACTGTACAATACACACATGCGGATGTATACATCTTTGTACATATGAAAAATGTATACATATGCACATAACTAGTGTTCTGCTTTTGTTTTTGTATTATCAACATTTATCATCAAATGGGTCAATTTCATCAATAAATGCTGAATGTATTTTGCAGATAGTTATATCCAGGATAAAGTGCCTTTACTTTGAAACATTCTGTAGGTTTTTGTTGACAGTCTAAAGGTCCTGTATATCCCCACTCACTGTTTTTCTGTCAGGCATGTTCTTTGATGTCTCTCTGTTTCCCTTAGCTGTCCTGTGTAAGCTTTTCTTCCCTTTGTGCGCACATACATGCCTCAGATCCAACTTTGCCTTTCCTTAACATGTCACGGCTTTATGCTGTCCATTCTGTGTGATGGGATTGATCTTTTCCAGTGTGACCTCTGTGTCGCTGTCTAAATTCCCAGAGATGGCTGGGGAGACTTTCTCCAGCACATTGTTTGCCATCCCCACCTCGATCTCCCCTCCACATCCATCCTTCTTCTGTAACTCCTCCTCCTGGGACAGGATGCTGTGGGGGATCACATAGCTGGCTGAATGGTTTCCCTCCTTAGGGATGTGACTCCTGGGCTGATACTGACTGTTGGGGTTTGAGGTAGGGGCACCCATGTTGTTGTTAATACTGACAATCTCGATGGCATTGCTCCCTGGGCAGAGCCTGTGGCAGCCCAGGAGGATGGAGAAGGCCTTGCGGAAGTCGGCATTGAAGGCATAAATGATGGGGTTGAGCGAGGAGTTTGCCCAGCCGAACCACACAAACACATCAAATATGGTGGAGCTTATGCAGGGGAATTCAGTGGAATCTTCTGGCACCTCACAGAAAGGAATTATGCAGTTGAGGACAAAGAAGGGCAACCAGCAGCACACAAACACTCCCATGATGACTGAGAGTGTCTTTAAGACTTTGGTTTCTCGCTTAAACGACATTTTGAACGAACTCTCGCTCTCCATGTTGGAACTATTCCCCATGCTGCTGTGACGGTTTTTGGCACTCTCAGCCGCCCGCTCCAGTGCAGATATTCTCCTGATCTGTTTCTGGGCGATGCGGTAGATGCGGGTGTAGATGACAAGCATAATAGCCACGGGAATGTAGAAGCTGATAAGGGAGGAGGAGATGGCATAGGTCCTGTTAAGGCTAAAGTCGCAGTTGTCAGGGGGCAGATCTTCAGGAAGAGTTCCATTTAAGTCTGCGTAGGTGGTGGTCTGAGCTTTGTGCCAGTCAAGCTGGACAGGAATAAAGGAGATGAGGATGGACAGAGTCCAGGCCACGCTCATCATCAGACACGCCACTTTTGGGGTCATCTTGCGTTCATAACGGAATGGGCTCGAGATGGCCCAGTAACGGTCAACACTAATGACACACAAGTTTAAGATGGAGGCAGTGGAGCACATGATGTCAAACGCCACCCACACATTGCAGAATGCGCCGAACGGCCAGAACCCCATGATCTCCATCGCTGCCTTCCATGGCATTACCAAGACAGCCACCAGAAGGTCAGAGATGGCCAGTGAGATGACAAAAAGGTTGGTGACCTTGGACCTCAGGTGTCGGAATTTGGTAACGGCAACACATACAAGTGTGTTGCCTAGCAGTGTGGTGAAGATGAGGAGGGAGAGGAAGCATCCTGTCAACACGCGTTTAGATGAGTCTCTATCTCTCTGCGCCAGAAGGTGCTTGCCATCTCGAACTGTTGAGAAATTCTGATCCATTGTTTCTATTTCACACTGCTAATAAAGTGAGAGAGGGGGTGGGTGAGGGGGGTGTCAACAGTCACCCCATCACATCCCCAGCCCGCAGCAGCTGCGCCTCTCTGGGGAGGAGTTTTAAGCAGACGGTGTAGCTGGTGGGGAGGTCAACTGTCTCGGCACCAGCTCTCCCACGGACTGGGTCATCCATAGGCTCCTTATCACAACCACCATCCTTGCACAAGAGCTGCTATAAATATTTCAAAATAGTCCCTTCAGAGATATGCCTCCCAAAAATGTCTGGTTCGGAAATTCCTGCAGCAGCAGCACAGACAGCAGACATTCTAGTTTGAGGAGTAGGAGCTGTTTGTCTTCAAATCCGCACTTTATGAAAAAATATAAAGCAACAAAAACTTATATATGAAATACCGTTCTTTTTTCTACTCTTACTGTATGCCTCTTTTGTAGAGCCCTCAGCGAAAGTTTCACACAATATCGTTGCCGAGCTGTTGAGTAAACAGAGGCTCGGCCAATCATTACCCTTATATACCTCCTCATCAATAACATCTATTGATGTTTTTTTGCGCTGCGTTTATCTGATTTGTTTAATGATCCTCGAGGCGTGTCTGCGTGATAATATTGGTGCATGTATCGACGCTGATGCGCCCCAGCTGTAGGTGTTGCTTTTCATTTATTTATTTCAATGCAGCTTCCTGTCAGTCCATGGAACAGTCTCAAACAAACGTTTCCACCTGAGTGCTTAGCCAAAATCATTCTGGCTGCAAAAGCTTCAAAAGTCTCAGGAGTCCCTTTTTAAAAAACGGATGTGCAGCTTACAGGTCTGTTTCGTCACATGTGGGAAAGCACATAAATGTTGCTGATCTTCCGTTTATGGTGACATGTCGCTGTAATCCACATGCGAGCTCTTTTTTTTTCTCTTTGAGTTTAGTTTGCGTGCCAATTTGTGCGGACGCAGCAAAACGTCCGCTCCACTTTCAAAAACATTCAACATCTATTTTTGTAGTCCACCGAAATGACACTTGGCAGCGAAATATACGAGTTGCATGAGGCGCAGTTTGGTTTAATTATTATTTTGTTTCAAGTTGTTAAATTGTAGACTCGGTGCGCTGCACTATGTGCATGAAGAGGATCAGGACGTCTTCAGTTGGCATGAAAATCACCCAACAAATCCGAAGATTGAAAAAATTGAAAAATTCCAACTATTGAAGTGACAAATTGAAACATACAGTCTCCAAAAATCCACATTTCCTCGGCATGCATCCAACTTGTATCTTGGTACCAATCGAAGGAGAAGGAGCTCACCCTCTCTGCACTCTCCTCCATAGGGAGCCAGTCACTCTTCCCTCCTTTTGCCACGATCCTCAGGTGTTTTTATTAGTCCTATTCGTTTTTCCATTCTTTATACTTGCAACCATCAGTTACCCTGTAATGTGTCTGCGGTGCGCCCGTGCCGCCGGAGAGTGATCGTAATGACTCTGGTCTCTGCAAGCCCGTTTTTCATGCGCCCTCCTCTCTCTCCGCTCAGCTGCTGTGCGCCACGGTCTTTGCCACAACTGCTCCATCCATTCAGGGAGGCTGTGAGGGAAAAAGACTAAACAAATTACCTTCAAACAATGCATTAATTTCCTCAAGAGTTAAGCCTCATGGTGTGTCATGACAAAAAATACATACCATTTTTTGGAAAAATTTAGAAGCAAATAGAAAGTTAAATGCTGAATTAATGTTTCTGTTTTTAAAATGATGCACATGTTTTGCAAAATGAAAGAAAGAAAGCCAAATAATATCAGTGTCATTAAGTCACAAAAAAGTGAAGAGGAGCTCAAACTGAAGGTGCCTGGATGTCCTAAGATGAACTTGTACCCAGCAGGCATACATGCAAAGGCACAATGAGGCCATCTACTGGATGTAAAATAGTGGGAGATGATGTGGGAATATGTGTGTGGTGTTGGGGGGGGGGGGGGGCAGAGCTGTTGTATTAACGTCACCTCAATAAACATGACAGAACAATTCTGAATTACATTAGAGTCCCATGAGCCACGCTGCAGCAGGAAGCAGACCCATGGAGTAAAAGACACAGAGGGTTCAGATATGTGTGTACTGTAAGAGTGTGTGTGTGTGTGTGTGTGTGTGTTTGTGTGAGGTGAGGGGGTGTGAATGTAAATTACAGAGGCTAATGTTATCATGGTGCTTGCTGCCGGTAGGCCTGGACAGTTTTCATATTAAGTATTTAGCGAGTTGAAATACTCAATGGTATCTTTTACCCCGTGTGTGTGTGTGTGTGCACGTGTGTGTGTGTTTGTGTGTGCGCGCGTGTGTGTGTGTGCGCAACTATGACTCTGCATATCTGTGGCTTTGTGGCACATGTGTGTTTGGAAAAAAATACATGTATTTGTGTGCATACTTGTGCATGTCTGTGTGCTTGTGTGTGTGTGAGTAATGCATGTAGACAAGCTAAGTGTAAGAGGCCTGGCAGACACAACGCCCACATTTCCCTGTAGCACTGAGCCAGGGTGTGCGTGCAGCCGACAAAGTTCAAACCAAGACCACGTCACACACAAACACACACAAACACAGACTTGCTCGCTCACTCACTCACACACGCACACACAACCAGCCATGCAGGGTAATTTATGTCTGCTCCAAAAAGCAAACAAAATAGAAGGAAATAAAAGAGAATAGACAGAAATGTCTTTTTTGGATGACTTTTTGCCACATGCATACATTGCTTAAATCTTTCATTTTTCCTGTAGGCTTATATTCATTACAGTTTCTGGACAGTGATGCTATGCCATTTGATTTTTATGATAGCCTGCACAAAAAAAAACCCATTAAAAACTAAACCCAGCGTGCTCTAAAAACAAAACGAATAAATCAGCTCCAGCCTCTATGATGAACTGAATCTCAATCAATCAATAAACTAAAAGTCATCAATGGTCAAATTGTATGTATTTCACTTTTAATCTAAAGCTCAACAAAAAGCAGGTCTAAACTATAGACTATACATTACATGGACGAGTCTCAGTGACATCACCTGTTAGCTCCTGAAGACCAGTTTGAAGCCCAACAATGATTGATATTGGAAATGCTACAGTATCTCAACCTAACTATGCTCAATCGAGAAACAGGCAAAAAGGTGGAGCTAAGGCAGGCCTTAAGCCTCCTGGCAAACAGCTACAAAGCGCCCACCTGTCAGTGAACTTTGCCCACCCTTAATTCTGCAAATTTATGCACAGCTCTTAATATATTAACAACTGGTGAGTTGTAAAAAGTTCACCCACCTTAGTGTTTTACAAATAAATAAATGAAATAGACCAAAATAAATATATTTTTAACCAGGCTGTAAACATGTTAATTTTTGCTGTGAAAAATTTTTGATTTTAATAGGGGACCTAGTAAGGCTTCCTTGCCTCTTGCTTCAACAATTAAGGAACTGCAGTTTTTTGCACTTCCAAAATAACATAGTAATAACATCATGTTTCAAAACCAGCGCTTGCCCCTAATTTAGACGTGACTCATTGTAATTAGTATTAAACATAACACAAGACCCAACACTAATCCACCCTGAACAAGCTCTTGGCAACGGTGGCAAGGAATACTTCCCTTCAATATGCAGATAACTCGAGCACAACTGGACACACTGATTAACAGTCATTTGCTGCGACAAGCTGGGCCAAGAAAGTGCAATAAAGACGGACAGGGAGGCATGTCTGAGCAGAGCAGCAGAACTTGGGGTTGGTCCAAGGCAAACCTTTCAAAAAGGAAAGGTTTATGCCAGTCCTGAATAGTAGAGATGGTGTCTGCCTGACTGGCAGATGATTCCAAATAACAGAGGCTTTATGACTGAAGGCTAAACCTCCCATAATTCTTTTAGAGACTATAGGTACCACAAGCACCTCTGCATTCTGAGAGCATAATGTTATTGGGGAGGAGGGGGGGAGGGGAAGAGGCACTATGAGCTCTTTGAGATATGATGGATCTGAACCATTTAGATCCTTGTAGAAGAGACTAAGGCCTTTAAGTTATTTTATAGATATAAATGAGAGAAAATGCAGAGACACAGCGATATGATCTCTTTTCTACAGTCAAAACACGTGCCGCAGCATTTTGTACTAGAACATCCTTTGTTGTAAGATGAAGTGAGTAGTTAAACTGTCTGACACATGTCTGCTGGTTTAATTGAAATTAATGCAGAATGTTTGCTAATGAACCAACGACACCTAACTGTGACACTTTCTAGATGCCCGGAGAGTGCGGCTGCTTTTACTCCTGACAGGAAGTAAATCAAATTACTCTATATGCCATTTTCCAGACCTTCGGTCATTCCTACAGGCAGTGAAAAGCAGGAGATAACCTAGAGACCCTCCAGGAAGCTTTCTCGCCATGAATGTGTGGAAACATGCTGATCTCTGTTGAGGGAGAAAAGTGCCAAGCTTTAATTTTCAGGGATTCATCCTCAGCTGAATCCATTTTAAAATATAACCACAAGCAGAGGTTCTGCCAGTGAAGCCAAAATGGAACTGCCTCAAATCCAATGCTCTGTGAGCCAAGTACTGCAGGGGACGGCTTAAAGAGAAATATTTGGCACCCACCAAAAGTTTCATAATGAACTTGAATATTGAAAAAAGATACAGGCAGGCAGCAATGATTTACATTTTACACTTCTACGAATTCAATCCCAAAGGATAAACACTGCCAGAGGGGACATGCTGAGCCAAGATGCATCACTCATTGGCACACAGGTGAATTAAAATTTAGTCTTAAAGTTAAAACATAACTTGTTTTTTTGTGAACAATGGGATACCCCTGAGTGTATATACCAAATGTTAGGTGGCAGCCTTTATTTGCCATTCAAATACAATGAAGAAAATATAGAGCCCCTAATGATTTTTAATGAATCTTACAAGAAGTGGCATTTATTTCTCATCAACTGAAGATAAGTAAAAACTAAATGACACAACTGCCTTGAAACAACAGTGAATGCTTACAGCGTTCTGAGACAACAGTTTATGGAAATGCAGCAGCCCTACAGTAAAAAGACAGAATTTCACCAGTAAAGGCTGCATTCATGACCAAAGTCAAGAGCAGGAGAAAAACAACCACAGATATCCAGAAGCTTTTTGGCAGACACAAAGGTCTTGTTCAAAATGAACTTAAGGAATGTAACCCTCTGCTGATGTTAACTGTGGCAGGGGTAACTTTGTGTAGGAGATCTTATTTACTGTCAACCAGGATAATTAAATGAGTAAGAAACAATGGGACTTCCTCCAACAGATTATTTGTTCTGAAATTAACAAATAGAGCTGTTATACTTTTCTAATATATAACAGACATGTTATTTTGCATATACAGTAGAGCAGCTTCTCTCTTCTGGGTTTATATCAAAGAGTTGAGATTGAGAAAGGGCTACAGATGGAATCGAAAAATAATACGTGACAAAGATTTCCCCTCTCTCACACACACACTTTGTCAGTGTGACGCGTACCAGGTCCCAGGTTGTTGTTGTTGTTGTGGAGCCTCTCAAAGCTCAAGACAGCCAGCATGAAGGGAATGTTTTTTTTGCTAATCCAACCACTGAGAGATTCATCAATTGACACAAGATCAAAAACACACACACGGAGACGCTCCTACGCACATGACATTTTAAACATAATTGCCCTTGTCATGGTAATCAGAGATAATCACAAGCTTTGATCTGTGCACATGTGTCATCACATCTGTTTGCTACACTCTGCATTGTCTGACATCATTTCATAGGATAGAGGCTCATTGCTTTTTCCAAAGGGACCATACTGTTCTTAATGAGCTGTATAGGGCAATAATTAGTGCTTTGCTTGAATTCCATAAAATGATTTACACTTCCAAATATATAAAAAGGGACACATGTGAAAAGCTGAGGATACAGAGGCAATAACCCAGATAGAAAGACCTTTGTATCTTTAGTTGTAAAATGCAGTGCTCAATGTTCCATTGGGGCACAAACAGTATACACTGTGCTTTGGCTTTTACATCCTCTATGTCTAATATTTTTGTATCTGAGGATAAAAAACTCACTGATGGTATCTAGGCCATCTGTCTGCACTTTCATCAAGTAGATTTATATAGAAGAGAAAGCAACCGTAACTCTAAAGGTTAATCTGTTAAAATGATCCATGAAAAAAAAAAAGTCCTTCGATATATTCAAAGCTAGTCCACAGCCAAACTGGAACCACCAAAATAAACTGCTGCCTGCATCACCTTGTTTTAGTGGGATAATTACATTCAATTTAATTTCGGTTCAAGTGACAAATAACCCGAAGTTCTGCATTTTTTTTAAACTTAACTTTAAATTGTAATTTATGGAATTTTTGGTCATATCCACAAACCAAGGTTCGGTTTTTACCTCTTGACATCACCTTTAGGTTTCCCACATATGTTTGCCAGTGCATTTTTTTTTTTTTTTTTTTTTTTAAATTGGGGGACTTTTGGACAGAATGTTTCCTCTTAGTGAGATTGCTCATGGTGTTTCCAGTACAAACTGTTGCAAAAGTGTTGAAACAAAGAGGCAGACCCATGTGCAGATAACAAAACTA